CGCCACCTGCCCGCTCGCACCCGCCATTTCGGGCTGCGCCGGCAGCCGCCCCTCCCCGGACTTTGTCCCCGCGGCCCTGCCGCCGAGGCCGGGTCCGTCCCCCAGCCCCGAAGCCGGGAGCGGGGTCCCCGACGCCCACCGGAGTTACGCAACGGGGCGATGTGCCAAGGCGGGCCCCGCCGGGGCGGGAGCGGGGCCGCTGGTTGAGCATTAACCTGACACTGCTGGGCTCGGACCGCGGAGAAACCGGTCGTGCCGGAGCCAGTTTCACTGGAAGTCCCCGGGGTCTAAATATATCTTTGTTTTTCCTTCCCCAAAAGAAAACTCCGGGTGTAATCGCGTGCCTTGTCAGGCAGATCCCCATCCCAGAAACTAAGTGGCCATACAGACTTAACCGAATTTTGTTAAGGATTTTGAAAACCGGCTATCGTACAGCTGCTGGCACCTGTGCCGAGGTGCTCCCACGGCCACGAAGCCCCAGGGCTCTCATGTGCGAGGACCGGCAGCGCGGCACCAAGCTCACAGAAGCGCTTGCAGGCATCGCCTCATCTGAAGTCTGTGGGAGCTGGGCATGTCTGAAAGGGAACGGCTGAAATATACCACAGAAACAGTTTTATGACACGAGGAGACAGATTTTTACTGCTCAGAAGTCCCGGAGTCTTTCATCAGACCGACATGGAATGAAAGATTCAGGGCAGCACATCGGCATCCTTCAGCTACATGAGAGGCTGCAGCCGACCTCCTCGCAGGAACAAAAGGATTAAAAAGGAGCTTCGCCCAAGGGACCAAGTCCAGCCTGCCATCCCCAGGGTCATCACAGCACCGGGGGTGCTGGTCCCACAGGGAGAAAGTGTGGAGCCTGGGCAGGAGCTGCCACCCCTTGACTCCCCCGCGGGCACTGCCCTTCCAGCTCAGGCAAAAGCTGACACTGCCCTCTCTTGGGCTCGCCCACACATGGCAGCAAGCTTCCCAGGAGAAGCAGCCCACCAAGAACGTCCTGGGCTTATGGCACCCACAGTCTTAAACCGAAGCTCTTCTTTTAGACCCAGCCTGGAGCGCTGGAACACGAGGGGTTTCCAACCTCTCCCCTCCAGATTTCCTCTTTTGCTGTTTGGCAAAAGGATCAGATACTGAAATTTCTCTACAGAGGCAGCATCAGTGTGAGAGGGACGCGGAACATGACCCAGGAACTTGTCCGAGCTGGCTTACAGTAGGGAGATGCTCTGGCAAGACAGTCCAGCTCCATGTTCTTGTCTCTTGCTACTCAAAGCATGCTCGGAACCTCCTGACAATCAGGCAGTGCTATTTCCAACCGTGCAAGACACTCTCCCTTTAGCAACAGCTTCCCACGCTACCTTCTTCCTCCTTCCAATAAGGCAACTATGGCTTTTATAGAAATTTTTTTTCTTCTTTTTAAAAAAAAAAATAAAAATCAGCAAAATTAGCCACCGTGGGATGGCTGGAACCGCTGGTGCTGACTGCAGCACATACAGCAGCAAGGATGAAATCTGCTACAAACACGCATTTCTTCAGCCAGCAACTCAAACTTGGATGTAGCCCTACTTGAGGCTACAAACACCCCAGAGATGCTGAGCAGGCAAGAAGAGCGTGGGAGGTGCGTGACAGCCCATGCTACTCAGAGCTGTGCTGGAGAACGGTCCTTGGTTGAACATCAGGCTCTTCAAGGCTCGGAAATGCACAGCCCCGCCAGCCCCTACCTCAAGGGGAAGGAGAAGTACTTGTTCCCCGACTTGCAGCGGATTTCCTCCCATTGGACACGCAGCAGGAGTGCCGAGTCCTCAAACCCGTCCACGATGTCCTGGAAAACAGATGCAGGTGTCAGTAGCAGGAGGGTGGATCTGCCAGAGGATGGGGTCAGCAGCTCCCTCTCTGAACCAAGTCAGAGACAAGGCCATTTGTGGCTGGAAGCCTCTGACTTCCCTCTGGAGGGTGATTTAGCTCACACTCCCCCCAAAAGCTTCTCTTCTTTCAAGCCAGTGAAGATCGTCTTGCTCAGTGAAGAGAATTTCCCACTCTCTGCCCTCAGCATGGAGATGTGGCTGGACACCAGCTCTGCTCTTCCCCTGCTCTCCACACTGTGTGGGGACGCACCTGGAGCTCCCGCAGACACTGCCCTTCCAGTCTGCCGGACAGGTCCCCGACACACCAGGCCAAGCTGATATGGAACGATGGGTCCTGAAGACAAAACAGGGATCAGATTGTGAGGGCTAAGGGAGGCTTTGCTCAATGCACGGAGCTGCAGTGGGAGATCTGGTGTGATGCTGCCCTGCCTGGGATTGCAGAGGCGGGAGGATCCCAAAGCTGAAAGCCCCCTCTGCCAGCTCAACAGTTGCAGAGCTGATATGGACAGTGCTAGAGGCGAGATGAGTCCTGGGCTCCCCACCCCAGCCTTTTTGGACACCAGTGGGCAAGGCTGCTTAGTTCCCAGCCTCTCTGCGGTCAACTCTGCAGAAGCTTTTCCAACTGCACAGAGAACCTCTCATGGACCATCCTGCAGCAGGTAGGTGGGTCACTTCTGAATAACCCACAAGAGCCCCCTGCTCAGCTCTAGAGACAGAGAAATCAGGGTTTGGCCCTTCAAAATCCAAAACCTGTCCCCAAAGCTAGTACCAAGCAAAGAGGCTGGACTGATACCCCAGGAAACTGCCCAAGGAAGAGGCACAAGCATTGCCCTCAGTCCCACAGCACTCACCCTAAGCCCATTCAATCCTAGGACAACCCTGCTTCCACGCTCAGCAGGGCAGTGACCATGATGTATGCTCTGGCCCTTTCCCCTGGAAACCTGATTCTAGAGAGGCCATCAGATAGTTAACATCCTTACTCTCCTGCACAGGACGCAATACAGAAGTCAGACTTGTGCTAGGCCCATTCTCAGCAGGATCGTGTTCAAGGTGTTAAGTATGAACATCACCAACCAGCCCAGAGAAGACCATTTCAGAGGCTAACCTCCCTGCTCCTGTTTATTTGGGGTGAACATTTCAAGGACCTCTAGCAGGGAACCAGCTAGCATGTCTGGACTGGCAGGGAATCAAGTGGGAGATGCCTCACCTTGTAGAACGTGGGAAGGTCAAATTCCTCCAGAACTCTGTCCACCTCTGAGACCAGCTCCAGCAGCTGGAAATGCCCAGCAGAGACCTCCAAGCCAATAAAGGTCCTAAAGAAAAAGAGAGACAGCAAGCATCCTTTCATGCCACAGAATGCGCAGCCATAAGCATACTTAGCCCTGCATTTCTACGGGGCAAATTCCCTACCCCCAACAAAAGATAACTTGAGGAATGCCAGGTTTAAGCATTCAAGGACACTGACCATATTCTGAAGAAAAACAGAAATAAAGACGTGGTAGCAGGGAGAAGCAGGACTGGATGATACACCATGTAGATTTACTAGATTAACTCAGCACCTTTTGGGACATGAAAACTCATTCTCCTGGCAGAGGATGCACCCGATGGGTATTTCGGCAGAGCACCATGCCCGTGGAGGAGCTGCATTCAAAAAGCGGAAGTTGCCAGAGGGGTTTTACGGTAGGAGAGGAAGCAGGGAACGGGAAGTACCAAGCTGGAGAGACGTGACAAAAAGCTACCTCCTCAAGGACTGTCTGGATGATGCTTTCTAGACTCCAGGAGGGGAGGGGAAGAGCAAGTCTCACCCAGGATCCGCTTCATCCTGCCCATGACTCTCATGGGCTATCATTCCTGCTACATTCAGCGGCTCTTCACAATTTTAATCGCCTCTGCTTTGACATTTAAACTACTTAATTCCATTCAGTTGGAATCAGGCTTCTGAGCTGACACCCGGGAATATTAGCACCATCCGAGCTATTTCTCTCCAGCTCTTGGAAGACCTGCACTGCAATTTCACAACCAGCACTACTGCCAAAAGAGGTGGCCCCCAGCTCTGCTCGCCCCAGGCTGCTTAGGCTGGCACGAGGGTTTGCAAAACCACAGAACAAACTAGATGGGAGATTGCAGCGAATGCAGCTGCCTCCTTTAGCTGCTGTGCAACCACAGCATGAACCTAACCCAAGCAGAAAGGCCTGCCTCAGGTCATGTTGTGAACAGATCTCTTTCCTTCAGAAGACTGAAATCCTGCAGCCTGAGGTTCACCCACCATGAATGAGATGAATGGCTTGCAGAGAATTAGCGCTGAAGCTAAAAATTTGTGCAAGCGGTTGGGGAAAGGTATGAAACCTCTGGAGACACGGTGATTGCGTACTGCCCCATTGCATGGCTCAGCCTGGTGACCGTGGGACAGGCAGGGATGCTTCCCATCCACCCAGCACCTTGCCCAGCCTTCTCCTCCAGCAGGCAGGCTGCTCTGCTGCTCACTCACCTGGTTTTGTTCTGGTTGGTGTAAACCTTCACTTGGTCAGCCACGCAGAAGAACCTGAAATAAGAAAGATCCTATTTCAGCTGGTAGGAAAATAAAGAAAAGAAAAAAGCAGAAGACAGAGAGGGGACAGGATTTCTACAGAGCTGTGGAAAGATAAAGGCAAATGTGTGCCGCAGTCGGACCGAATCAGAGCAACCAGAACCTTTCTGGGCTCAGGTTCATCCGTTCCCTCCTGGTTTTCAGCCCTCTGAAGCCCAGACAGCGACAGAAGCCCTGAGGCAGCTGATGCTCAGCGGGCACCTGAGCCAGATGTAAGCAATGAAACCATCCGTGGTTCAGAGGATGGCACAGCTCTGGCCTGGTCCTTGAAAGCCGAGACCTGACTTGTCCGGTGCCAGATCCGGAGGCAGAAAGGAAAACCCCCAGGGCTTTACTGGTGCAGCAGCAGCTGCCAGAGACAGCTTAGGGTGCGGACGCTGGTGAAAGGCAGACCCTGAGGGAGCGGGAAGGGTGTGAGGAGCACTCTCCCGAGGCTCCACCATCCCTACCTGTGGAAGGAGGCCAGGCGCTCCTTGAGGGAGCGGACGAAGGGCTCTATCCAGTGGTAGCGCAGCACCACGCACTGCGAGAGGCTGAGGTGGAACTCCTCCATGGCAGCCAGCGAGGAGACGTAGGTGCGAGCGCGGGAGACCAACAGCTCCAGCAGCTCCAGGAATTCCTCCTGGACTCTGTCTGCGAGGCAGCGCGGTCAGAGCCGGGTCCTTCCCCGGAGCACGGGCCGCGGATGCCCACCGGGGACAGGCGGCTCCCCCAGGGGTCCCGTCCCCGCCGAGCACCGGCTGGCCCTGGGGGCTCGTCGGGCCTCACCCGGCTGGGCTCCGTCCCGCCCTCCCCTCCCGGTCCCGTCCCGCCGTGGCCGGGCCGCGGTTACTTACAGGGCAGGTAGACGTGGGTGGCCCAGCTGCCCCGCTCGTGGGGGAAGCCGCGGACGCGGCCGCCGTGCCGGGAGCTGTCGTCGCTAACGGCCTCCCCCGGCTCCGGATCGCCCGGCAGGCCGGCGGGGACGGGCAGGCGGGGGCGGCCGGCACTGCGAGGACCGGAGAGGAGGATGAGGAGGATGAAGGCCGCGCGTTCCTCACCCAGCCCTGGTCGCTCCCGCCGCCGCCGCCGCCCCCCC